GATTCCTCTTCTTTATCGACCTTCAAAGTAATCTTTTCACTTTCCTCATATATAGTCACCATTCCGTTTTTAAGGTCAAAGTGTATACGATTAAAGTATTCCATCCAATCTAGGCCAAGCACCATTTCACAACCCCTAGGTCTAATATTCCTAAGTCGACCACATAGTTTCTACCCCGCATCATCCACTAAAATTCCTTATACCTAGACTCACTCTTCATTTTGGTCTCATTAACCACTATCACTATCTCGTAGGGTGGTTTGTAATGTTGGTAGTTTTAATTCCCTCATAAGGGCCTTGTCTATGAAACTATTGATGCTCCCATTATTAATCCATATGATAATACTCTTTTTCCCACACACCTTTTTATTTTGAAAGCATTTAAAGATGTCTTACCACTCAAGGCATATAAGAAAATGCTACTGTCCACTTCATTCGTGACCTCTTCTTTTAGTGTTGGTTATTCTTCCTCTCCAATCTCATTGTCTATCCGTTCCTCTTGTTTTACCTTTTCTAGCATTATATGAAATAGTTATTTTAGCTTGTATTGATGCCCTAGGTAGCATCTCGTCTCCACATTTAAAACATTTCCCGAGCTCCCTCCTAAAATCACTTATATTGTTTGGTCCGTTTTGATAGTCTTTTTGTGGTTCCGAGAGTTGATTTTTGTTAGTGGTCATGTTATGGTGTGCTTGGTTTTGTGACAACGGTGATAGTGTGGAGAGGTTTCGAACTTGAGAGTGGTTTATGTTAGATGGTTTGTTTGGGTTATGTGTGGTTTTGCATAGAGCCTCATCGAACTTTGCTTGCTCAAAGGCTTCTCGAAGGTCCATAGGTTTGAACCTCTTTCGTTGTTAGGCTTAGTTCTCCCTTTAACCCTCAAATGATGACCTTGACCAAGTACCCTTCCGTGAAGCTCGGATTCATTCTTTTCATCAAGAATTTCAAATCCTCAAACCTCTCTTAATACTCTTTCACGGTTCTAGTTTGTTTAAGACTATGAAACTCCTCTATCATAATTGTTTCTTCTTGTTCACTAAACCTTCTATATAAATCCTATACAAACTCTTCCCAAACTAGCATTCTCTTATCTTCTTTCCATTTCGATACTATATGCTAGGTTTGATATCCAAAAACATGACAACAGTCTCAACCTTAGCCTTATCTCTCGATTTGATACACTTGGAACACCTTCGACATTTTTTAGCCCACGACTTGGGGTTTGTTCCGATAAAGTACTGGAAATCCACCTTTGACCATAGTTGATTGGGTGCTTAATGATGAGTTGGTGAGTCTAGGTTGGTTAGGGTATGTTGGTTAAGGTAGTAGCGGGTAGTGGTATGTTTGAGGTGTGGTGAGTGAATGTCTATGGGTGTAAGTAGGATTCTTTTTCCTATGTCTATGGTATTATTGGATGAACTCGCTAGCTTTTTTTGGATCCACCAATATTGGCGAGTTGAAGAGAACTCATAGCGTCTACCAAAACTTAGAAGGTTTGTTGGTTTTCATTCAACATTTGTGTATTTTATTCTAGGTATTGGTAAGATTCGGTTTGGATTTTAGCTAAATCAGCTTGTAATAACCGAAGCCGACTCTCTAGATTTTTGACTTATTCATCTAGGGTTTTTAGCCCGATACCTTCAACCATAGTGCAAAAATACTCTAATACCATTTGGCAAGAACCTACGTGTTGGAATAGTCGAAGGTGGAGGAATGACGAGTAATTAAAGTAGCAAAGAAGACAAAATGAAGGTGGAGAAGAAGGTATGAATTGAGAATGAATTTCGTTAACAAGCATGCACAATCCATACATGTTCCTATCTTAAGGGATCAAGATGCTTCTTGCACCTACTAGCATTCTACTAGAATGTTGTGTAACAGACATTCTATTACTAAAACAAAATAACAAACTATCGGAGAATAAAAATGAATTACAAGGTCAATGGACCAACTTACCCCCGTTAATTCCCTCTTTAATTTAGATATCTTCATTTATCTAAACGCCCATTTTCTTGTCGTTTTAGGGACTTAACATTATATCTCTCGCCCTTATATCATTTCTTCGACTCCAAACTTAACCTTGGCCTAAAGTTAGGTATACCAATATTCCCTCTCGATTAATATGCCCATGGCGAATTCAAGTGATAGGGGTCGGAAAGACAATCTCGATCCGTGCCATGGTCTATGTACATCATATGTATAACTTCTTATTCTTTCAAAATCAAGTGCCCATGGTAGATTCTAGTGATAGGAGTTAGAAAGAAAACTTTGGAGGATTTGATAACTTTGATCACACAAAAAAAGGTTTAGGGAGGTTTTGATGAGATTTTTTCCATGGCCATGCCACTTGGTAGCTCATTTGCTTGCCACCATAAATGGTTGAAACTACTCTAACAACGATGCCTATTAATACTAAGCCTACATTGTCCATTCTTTCAAACCAATAAATCGAGCAATCAATGTCTCTAGCTAAAAAATATGTTGTTGTTGTCAAGAATATTAGTAACACTATTTGTTTTTCTCCTTCCTTGGTCTATCAACAACCTTTGAAGGATACTTTATTGATTTCGAGACAACCCACTACAATTTAGGATGAACTAACTTATATCTTTTCCTTCATAGAGATTGAGGCTACTTGCGGAACAGCTTTAATAACATAATTCTTTTAAAGTTTTTTAGTGGAATGCCTCTAATTTGAGTTATCTAGAATCATATTTTTGAAAATCGATAACTCCAAAACCCTCTAGTAGTAAGTCGGTTAGACCATAGGCATGTTATTGTAAGGTTATCATCCGAAGCTTGTATGATCATGGCACTTACTCGGGAAGATTATAAAACACAAAATTGTATATATCGGGCTTAGATGGTTAGATGATTTTGTGCTTCAAAAAAATTATTATAGGGTTGTTGTATGAGTTAGGTTTCCTCATCTTCCTCCACCTTTTACGCTCTCGTCATATGTTAATAGTACTTGGAGGCACAATTTGGGATTATTGTGTCTATATGATTGAACTTTAGTTGTAACACATCTCATGTTTCCAAGAGTGTGTGTGGAGGTTGATGTTTTTATGGATTTGATGGCATATTGTACCACTAAAAAATTAGCAATTTATATTTTCCATACTAAATCTAATCTCAAGAATGAGCTTAGGGCAAGCAAGGGTTGATCCTACGTAAAATTGGTTCATTTAATGCTCTTAATTTTCCGATTGTTCTAAGGGTATAAGAAAAGGGAGTATGAGGGGTTTGAGTGTTGAGAGTAGTAAAGTAATCAAAGCAAATAAAGATATAACAATGGTAATGGAAGTCTTGATTGAACTTCAATATCCACTTTTAATTTATTTTTTAATCATTGATTAAATCATTAACTTATCCTACATATGAATATTCACCGTAGGACAATAACATGTATGTTATCCCTAACCTTTCATTACTTAATCATTAATCAAACATACGATACTTGATTAATTTCCTAGCTACTAAAAAACCTACCATGTGCTAAATTAGATTTAATTTAATAATAACATTAATTAGAGAAAGACAGTTAGAAGCTAAGCCACCCTCGTAGACACCGGAAAAATGTAACCTAGTTCTATATTTTTCAAATGATTAAATGAAAACATGAAAAATAATCATCAATCCCTAGTTCCTACCACAAGTAAGTTTAGACAAGCAATTACACGAATTTGAATACTTAGCTAGCAATAAATTAATATGATCAAATAACTAGCATACAATCTAATCAATTTAATCATACAAAAAAATATAAAATGCTTAAACGAGATAATTTTAGAAATAAAACTCATAATCTCACAACGATTTAACCAAAAGCTTCAACTTGATTCAATCAAGAAAATGTTTGTTTAGAGTTGTAAGGCTTTTCTTACAAGAGTGGTGTGGTCGCTGGAATTGAAAGATGAATGAAAATAAAACTCTAACTTCTCTATTTATAGCCAAAAGTAAGATAACACCACACAAATGGTAGCCCCACATGGCTTGTTTATTGTGACACACGACTTGCTTGACTAAGGGACATAGTTATATACCATTTACACTTCTCTTATGTCTTTTATTCCTTCATCCCACGTCTCTAGCTTGTGTCCATGTGGAATTTACACTTCATCCTATGTCTCTAGCTTTTGCTCATATGGAATTTGCACTTCATCCCATGGCTTTAAATAATCAGCTTTAATAAACTTGATACATGCTGAATTAGGGTTTGTGTTATATATGAAAGTTATAGTTATGTTTCTTATCTTCCCATACATTAAGTATTACATCAATTGCATATTTACATCTTACGTTATGAGCTAAAGACTAACACCGACTCAACCTATCCTCCTAGCTTTAGGATTTCACTTTCCATCTAACTTCCTTCATGATAACGACGTAATTTGGACTTAAGACCTTCATAATACTTATAGGTATGCCTCTTAAGTATTCCATAAGCTTAGCCTTGCATTAATTGGAGTTTTAAAACTCTAGATATGAATCAAACTCCACAAATGATCTATACTCCGAAAGAGATTTTCTATACTAGAATACGAAATATCATTTGGAGGTCTAAAAAAACTTGGATTTTTACCCATTATATCGGTTTGAAAACTTTGAGATGTCCTTTAGAAAGTCCTTAAAGATCACTAACTCTAAATCAAACTCTAAGACTTAGGAAAACCTATAAGAAGTCTTGAAGATCTAAGTTAATCATGCTAGACATATATATGGTTTCGTTCTTTATTTCACACAACCAAGTATCTATTTTTTCTTGTATCTCACACGGTCGTGTGTCGCTTAAAGCTTCCTTGGTAGCTTTTATTTTCTCCTTGTTTTTGGCTTGAGTTTCTTACTTCAATTCGATGTTTTTTCCAACAAAACTTAAATCATTATCTTTATTTTAATTTCCTAAATATAGTTCAATAAATACTAAAAAGTTAAATATAAAATAGCATAAAAATTATGCTAATTATGCACTCATCAAGATTTTCTTGTATTTTGATTAGGTTGAGAAAAGAGCAAGGATTCTGAAAAAAGTTGAATACGAGGGTAACTTAATGAATGGTATAGATTATAGCCTCATTGGTCACGTTGTTGGAATTTTCCATAAAAAGAGGAATGTACCTAGAGATTATGTGACTAATGGTGACGAATAGACATGTTATTGTTTAGAGTAATAACAACAAGATTGTACTATAAAGTAAGGAGCGAGATAATGGTTTAAAAAAAAAACCCAATTGGTGGTAATGTCAAAACCATTAACTTTCAATGTCCTAATGAAGCAATCTATGGTAATATCAACTAATCTTATGCCAATTGTGGCCTTTGCTAGGACTCGTGATAGTCCCTACAAATACTAAGAAAGACATAGAGTAGCCAATCGAGGAGAAAGAGGAGGATGATATAGATAAATATAGAAGAGTTTCTACTAAGCAATTGTTTTGCTTTATTAGAGATTCTTGATGAGGACAATGAAGTATTTCCAATTGAAAATAAGCCAATTGAAACTAATAATACCGACCCAATTGATGTTAAGGATGTAGTTTCAAATTTTATACATGTTAAGAATAATAAATAGTCAATGTCTCCGATAGCTTCCGGTGCTTTCGTGATTTTAAGGCATGAAGGTAATAATATTGTTATCAAACATACACAATAGGGACAAGGTATGTTTTTTGATACTTTTGTTATCGATGGTTTTGAATGGAAGGGCTTTCTATTATATGGTGTCTGTTGTTACTAAACCAAACTTACAACTTCAAAGGGTTAACTTTTCGGTTAGAATACATGATGATAATGTACTTCCAAGTATGGTTCGGAAAATTCAAAAAAGGCTTTAACAAGGGTTCCAAAAGGCTAAGCAAAGTAAGCCAAGTGTGAAACATATCACTAGAGTTGTTTTTAAAGCTCACAGTTCATCTCTCTTGCCTATTAATTAATGTCTATGCTAATTTAAAATGCTAGAGGTGTGGGTAATAAACCAACTATAGAACATATTGATATTCTTAAATATAATTGTAAACTAATGATGATAGTTATTATGGAGCCTACGTTAAAAATGAAAAATCTAGTTAAAATTGCTAAGAAATTGAAGTATTACAACTTCATACATCATAACCCTATTAATAAGCATATATGGTTGATGTGGAATGATGTTATCCACATCTCTTTATGGAGGCCAATAACCGAGTTTATTATAGCATCGGTTCAATGTTATGATTAGCCATCTAGTATATATTCCTTTGCCTATGCAAAGTGTTCTAGACTAAAAAAACATGACTTTTGGAATGATCTTACTAATTTTTCATCTCCAATTCAATAGCCCTGGTTAGTTAGAGGTGATTTTAATGTAATTTTAGAGGTTGAAGATAAGTTGGGTGGATTTGGTATAGACCTTTCTAGTATTTTGGATTTTACTACCTATTTTAGACAAATTGGGGTTAAGGATATAAGGTATCAAGGCAGGTCGTTATACTTGGTGTAATAAAAAAAAAAAAAAGCCATTGGGTTTTAAAGAGGTCGGATAGAGTCATAGTGAATGGGAATTTTAAGGTTGTGTTGCCTCTTTTTTGATAACTCACTTGGTGAGAAATTTGTAAAATCATTAGCCCTTAATATTACTATTTCGGTAGCATAAGTTGGGTCGTCCATTATTTCCTTTTCACAAGATATGGTTCGATTGTTCAAACTTTTTGAATTTTTTTTCAACAAAGTAAAACACTAGTTTTAATGGTCCTTTGTTGTATGTTTTTCACAAAAAACTTCTCCATCCGAGGCGTAGGTTAAAGGTCCGGAATTGGCATATTTTTGGTGATGTTGATAAAAAGATTGAGACAGTTCAAGAAGATTTTCTTAGATTTGAGAACTGGTTTAAAGCACAACGAGATAAAGTTATGGTTGCCAAGATGTGTGATGCAAAGAATTTTTGAATCAATTAATAGGTTAGGAGGGTAGTTTTTTTCAATATCAAGCATATGTGAAATGGATATATATGTTTATCAATGACAACACTAAACATATAGCTTTTAAATTAAAAAGGGTTGATGGTTCTTTCGTTAGTGCGGATGCCCAAGATCCAATCTTATTTGGATGGTTTGACATGGCAAGCGCTTCAATAAGTTCAGCCTCAATCATAGCTCTCTGCTCCGAGCTATATGCCATCCGCACTTCCCGTCGATGTACACCGAGATATTTGTAACTTGTTGAACAAGCATCCCCATTTCTCCGAGACCCTCTACAAGATGCCGGGCGGACGATGTATCACTTAGAGTCTTAGGCCTTTCTTTGTTTTCGTTCCGCTTTCAACCTTATTTTGATGGTTTGACATATAACATCAACCAAACCATTTTTGCCACTAAATTCATTTTTATTTTCCTTCTTTATAAACTCACTAAGCAAACTCAACCTCAAGTTCGCATTTTAGCTAGCATTCACATCGTGAACATTGTAAAAAAGAAGCAACTATCGTAACCACAATTTTTCGATTATATATATTTCCTTTTAATTTTATCCCTTTTATTTCTATTTCTATTTCCATTATTATTTATTTTATCCTCCGTTATTTATTATTTTAGTTATTCTTTATTTCTATTTTATTTTCATTTTTTATTTCATTTTTATTTTTATTTGTATTTATTTTATTTTAGTACATACTATAAAAAAAAGAAGAAGAAGAAAAAGAAATCAAAATGCAAAAAAAATATAAAAAATAAAAATTAAGGGATAGATTTAATCATAGGCATAATTACATTAAATCAGCTTGAAATTGAAAGCTAATTGGAGGCAAATTAAACAAAAATCAGGACAAACTTAAGACATAATTAAAAGGAATCAGAGGACGCGACTAAAACATTTTAAGAAGTTGAGGGACTAATTTGAAAAATTACATTAATTCATTTTTATTTTTATTTATTTTAGTACTTACTATAAAAAAAAAAAAGAAATCAAAATTCAAAAAATATAAAAAATATATATATGAAAATAAAAATTGAGAGATACATTTAGTCGGGGGACATAATTACATTAAATCGGGTTGAAATTGAAAGCTAATTAGGGCCAAATTAAACAAAAATCAGGATAAACTTAAGACATAATTAAAAGAAATCAGAGGACCCAATTAAATCAGTTTAGGAAGTTGAGGGACTAATTTGAAAACTTGCGTTTGAGAAAGTAAGGGTTCATTCACTGTCTCCTGCGTTTGAAAAGCAGGAATGGTTTTGATCTTTCATGGTTTTCTAATCATTTTGATTTCCTCAGCCAGTTCATTAATCCCTCCCCTTTGCTTGGTCCGCAAGTAGTGCTACAACAAATCAAAAGGATAAAAAATGTTAGGGAATAACAGAATAAAGAGAGAAGGATTTTCATCGAACACATTGAAATAAAAAAAATGGAAATTTGGGTTTGTTAGCAACACATCGGGTATAAATAGGAGTGGTTTAGAGGTCAGAAAAGGAGGAATTAAAGGACAAAAGAGAAAATCAGAGTAGAGAGAGTAGAGAGAGGAATCTGGGTATTCAATTTTTCTGGGTTTGGTTGAAGTCTTGGTTTGTGTTCTTGAATTTTTGGGTTTTGGTTGAAGATTCTAGGTTTTCTTTCGAGTTTCTAGGTTTCTGTTCTTCATTCTGGGTTTACCTTGATGTTCTAGGTTTCAAGAATACTAGAAATCACTCCCTTTGAACATTCGTGAGTCCCCAATCATCACAACAACAAGCTCCGGATTGCATGATCCCTACAAAATCAATCCATCAGTCATCTTCCATTATCTACAAGTAGAGAAAAATCAAGGCAATCCCACTCAGCCTTTCAAGCTCATACCAATCATTCAAGCTTTTCTCAGGTAACCCGAATCACCCCCTTTGTTTATATTAATCAATCTTTACTCCATTTTCATTTGAGCAAAGGAGTATGGTAGTGACATTGATTGAGTCTAAGGACTCAAATTCATCAAATCATCCAAGAAAAAGAAACCGGGTGGAGGGGATCTAGTAAGCTTAGAAGTCACTTAGGAATCATTGGGAAAAATTCCAATCAATGGATTAAATTCTTGAGGTAGTGATGAACTGGGCATTCGATCCAGAAATGAAGAAAGGAAAAAAGAAAAAAAAACAGAGAGAAGGAGAAAAGAAAGAAAAGAAAAGAGAAGGGAGAAAGGAGAAAGGGCCCGGTTCAGCCTGGCCAAAAAAAAAAAATTAGAGTTATAGGACTAAGCCTAGTTCAAAAGAAAAAAGGAAGAAAAAATAGTCTAGGGTGGGTCTAACCCAGTTCAAAAAACAAAAAACAAAAAAAAGAGTAGGAAGAGGAAGAGGGCTCCCTTTAACCTAACCTTGGCCCAATAGACCAAAGCCCACTTGGCTCAAAGGGCCCATAACCCTTTTTTAGCCTTTTCCTAGGAAAATCAATCCTGCATTTTTTTAATATATACTTCTTTTTTTTCATGTCTGGTTTAAGTTTAAAACTTTTGAATTGTTGATCTATTCATTTTGTTTATTTAATCGAAATGTTTAATTTTTTAGGTTTTATTTCAACAATTAGAATATGTAATTAATAGATGAACTAATTATTGTCTTCTAACTTTTATGGATCGACGATTATTTCCCAATAACAACAACTACAAAAAAAAAAAAAAAAAAGAGAAAATTAGTTTAGACGATAAGATAAAATAAGAGGAAAAGAAAAAACGAGAGAAAATAAGAAAAAATGATTAAAAAAAAATGGGAGAGAGAAAATCCCGGGTAAAAAAATAATTAAAAAAATAGAAAATACTAGAAGAAAATTTAACAATGTCTTCTATTTAATAAAAACTGATGTTAACCAAAACTAATCATTTTAGTAATTAGTTTGTTCTCCAGCATACCGATTATGTTAAGGCCTAAACTTGATTCGATTTTGAATTGATGTGATGCCCGATGAAGAGGTTCGATGATCCGTTCAATATGATACCACAAATAAAGAAAAAATAATTTGGTTTGGAAAATAAAAATTAGAATTTTGATTATGATTAATTTTAATAAAAATAGAAATTTTTAGAAGATAAATTTTATAACAAGATGTGGTATCTTTCATAAGAAAAAGTGTTTCTAGGTGATAGATATCTTCTCAAAATCATAACCAACTCCTTACTCAAGAATATTTAAAATAGTGATTATTTTAGGTTTCTAGTCCTTTTAATACTTGGTAATGACTCCAAAATTAATAAATAACTCATATCCCAAACAAACAAAATTTTTAATAAAAAAATATTAAAAAATATTAATTTTTAAGAGTCTCACGACTATTAGGTAGCGACACCCCTAAAAAAGCTTGTGATATCCAACAGGACCAAACTTATTTTAGCTTTCTTCCTACACTACCCGATACTTATTTTTCTTAAATTTAAAAATATTCTTCACTCTTTTGAACTTATGGAGTTTTTGCATGTATTAATTACGAAAATAAATAAGAAATAACTTTAAAATAAATAAAAATAATTGATTTTTAATATAAAATAAATTAAGTATTAGTAAGATAATATAATATAATAATTTTATTTATGAAAAAGCA